ATAACGCGCGAGTCCGCAGACAAGATTCCTCCTTCTTTCTCCGACGCCAACCTGCGCCAAATCGGATTGCGATGAGCATATTATTGTGAAGTAGCGCGGGTCAATTGACCAGAAATCAGGGCTGTTGAGTGCGGAGAGCGAGCTTCACCGTTGTTAGTATTCAGCCTGCAGTACAGTATATATTATTCATATGCCGATACGATAACGCTTTCGGTACGACGGCACTAATGATACTAAATAGTACTATTAATAGTATTATTACAATAATACTAATAATAGTATTATTTAGTATCATTATTGCCACCATTAAATACTATTCTTAGTACTATTTGTTAGTCCTATATTTTTAGCGTGGTTTATATTAGAGTTATTTGGATCTATTGTTCTTCGAGAGTCATTGTACATAACATAATATTACGGGCAATTTCGTAAATGACCACATGTAATAGAGTTACGCAACGAATTTATAGTTTTGCTTTGATCTATTAGCTATGATCGACGTTTGCGACGTTGATAGTCTGTGTAAAATAATTGATTTTATTCGGGAATCAAACTGTGACCAATCTTTCGTCCGTTTTTCGTAAATATTAAGTTAATGTCAGAGAAGTCCGCGCAGCGCTTGTCCTGACTTTCCATATAGACCGGGGAATCAAATGCCCATACATATAATGATACTAGTGATATATTTCCACTTGCTTGATTGTCCCACAATTAGAATTGTATGTTTATTTTGCACGATTCGTATGCATATATGGACCTTCGACCCACGCTATCTAAAATCCATAACTAAACGATATTTCCCTGAACAATTATTAATGAAGCAGTTGGGTGTTCATATACATTAATGTGTGTAGCGTACGTTTACTGCTTTATCATAACCGCCTCATACCAAGGCACACTATACTCACCAGATTTAGAATTTGTGTCAGCTTAAGGCCCAGTTGGACGTTGAGTGTTTCATTGTGCCGCGGGACTGGCCGCGTGAGGCTGTCGTAATGTGCGAACAGGTCGTCATAGAGACGTTTGGCATCCGGATTGGCATCGCATCCTGAAAATATAGAGGGGAAAATTCATAAGTACCTCACGGCAAATGTGCGTAATTGTATATGCGCATGTATAATATATATATTATATACATATAATATTGTATATATGTATATATATATGTATATATATCAGGAGTTAATAATGACAAAATTTGTCATTATTAACTCCTGATATTATATATAACTTCAGACAAAGAACAGTGACATGGACACTTGGACACACATGGAAACACATGAACACACATGGCTACTGGAATAGTGGCATGGGCAAAGAATAGTGGCTTTGATGAAAAGTTCCACTATTGATGCTCGAAATACTAAACTTGTTAGTCTAGCATATGTTCAATGACCTCGTTGATAGATTAAAAAAACCATCACCGTATTTAGAAAACGTGTTCTTGTCTGAAAATGTACTGCATTTTAAGCTCTCCAGTCATTATATTGTCTGTTTTTAAGGCAGAATCGTCGTTCGTAATTTAATAGGAGTAATGTTCAAATACATTCAATACCGGTCATATAATCCCTTGTCTATGTTTCTCAATTCTATCTGCTTTCTACGTTGTTTTTTTTTTATAAAAGGCAGAAACGCATGCACCGGAAACAAATAGTTCAGAATGTTAAACTACGCGTTAGGTATAAATATCTTTTTGATAAATTTAATTTTATGAATATCAAAATAAAAGTGATGGAGGAGACTGTTGAAATTCCCAGAAGCATATGGCGTAGACATACAACACTCGCTCTAATTACTCGTAACGCGCGCCGCACAAACGCTAGCGGCGATTCGTCACCAGAAAAATCTTTACCGTCCTATCGCTAATTATTTCCGTCTGTATCTTTACATCACATCCGCGCCTTTCGACCCCTTCCGCCGCACTATTGACGTTCTGCTTACATAACGGGCGCAGACAGGAGAAAACTTTCGGGGCCGGGTCAATTATCTCTCTACGGCAAAAAACGCGCGAGTCCGCAGACAAGATTCCTCCTTCTTTCTCCGACGCCAACCTGCGCCAAATCGGATTGCG